TCTTAAGAAAGTTAAAATAAGCTTTTCCTTTAAACTGAATAAGGAATATAAATGTACGCTCCTGTTCTACAATGATTACCACTCGTCGTGATACAATATAAATAGAACAACGTTGAAATAATAGTCAAAGACTATCCAAATAAATACTACAATAGAAGCTGGCTCACTAACTCTAGGAAAGCATCATAATTAAAGTTCCAGCAGCGATAGTCTGTAAAGTGAATTATAACTATTAGAACTGGCAAGGAACTAACCAAGTAGAGCGCATGCAGTGCCTCTATCTCCATTCCCAAAAACCTCAATTTAAATGCTCAGTGCTAATGTGCATTCTGGTGAGGATACGGAAAGGATAATTTATAGTAAAAGCTAAAATCAAAATAACTCGCTAATTAAAATAAGATTTCCTACAAACGTAATATCTAAAGTGTCACCAAATAAATAGAACACATTTTCTTTGAATTTTTAAATTATTCGATTTTTTCGGGGGTCTCTTCACTAAGGTAATTAAATTCAGAAATCGGATGCTGACAATAAATAATGAACAATATTGCTTCATGGTTCTATTAGAGCAAATATTGTACTTAATTTCCACTCAAACAGAAGTATGAATGTGAAAAAAATTATATGAATAGATTTTTATCAGCTATTCAAGTATAAAATATTGGTGGATCGATAATAATTAAATACAATCGTGCCTTATTTTAAACATTAAAATTCTATCTTCTTTGCAGCATTAGAAAAGAATTTTAAACATTTTCCTCATTCAGAAAGTCTTTCACCGTAGCACAAAATGATTTCTAAGCCAATTTCTGACATAGGCTTTTCGCACACATTCTGATATTCCCTTAGGTCAGACATTTCACCATACATTATTTATGAAACTGTTCTATTTCATCGCCTTTAATATGTCATTTCTGCAAGACAGCAAAATGGAATACTAATAATTTATGACGTAGGAGATTCATGCATTTGGCGAGTGCTGCGATTTGGAACTTTCATAGTTTTGTGGCATGAAAATAAACTTAATAATCTTTCTTTATACCTTTAAATATGAACTTTATAAATCTGACCTTAAAAACATATTTTCCCCTCGTATTTTTAAAGTCACAAAGTTTTTCCCACATAAATAATAAGACTTATTTTAAGACGGATGAAAATTAAGAAAAGAATGCATATATTTCGATAGATAATCACTTAATGCAATTGACATTAATTAATTTAAAATCATGATGACATTCATTAAAGAATTAAACGAGAGTTTTAAGCATTTTATTGAAACTTTAATTGTACTTATTACTTATTTCAAATCTCTGTTACTAAAATAAGCAGAAGTTATTGGGACGATAAATTAAGAACTTATTTTTTAAAAGACCGAAATAAATTCATTGCTTTATATATAATTCTCATGGAATGATGTCAATGTGAAAAAACAATAAATTTAAAGAGAAAAAATACAGACTGCTTAAGTTCTGCTAGAAATTCAATTATGGCGGCTTCTACGAATCACTTCAATAAATAATTTAAGCAAATCTTAATTAAATGATAGACTTTAATTTGAAATAATGAAATGAAATCACATTTCTCATTTCTAACAAATTATTTATACACCGGTATTTCATTGAAATTGGAAATAACGAGAATATTTTAAGAATTTATGGGTAATTTAAAGTATGTGACTTTACATATATAAAATTACTTTTTAAAGATAGTAAAAGAAAAAAAAGATAGTTTTTAGAGATTTTTCAAACTAGAACGAGACATTATTTATCAGTCTATTATGTAATATTAGGGATAAAATAACGTTAGAGGTTTAAAACATTACTACCTTAAATATTAAATTTCACATGAGTAGCTAATTTGAAGAAACTGCTGCACTGAAATTCATTAAATTATGTACTAGATATATGTATATATATATAAATTCTAGGAGGGGTAGGATATACCTAAGTGACTCGGAAGTCCATAGCAATGCAGGGTCGGAAGTACAATTCTAACGAGATAGGGGACTTTTAGGGGCTTCCCAGGAAAACCATCGACAACCACCCGCAAAGGGATTAGGATGGAAAATTTGAATATATCATGATTGCAAATTGGCATTTAAAGGCCATAAACTTAAAATAATGCAGAAATTTCCTAATAATAAAGCTGCTCGAAAAAAGGCACCGCATGGAATCTCAGACATTTTGAAATATACCGGGCATCCGTCGGGCGTTCGCGTAGCCAGGAAGATGCACCATTTCAAAACTCCCAGCGCATAGAACGTCCGAGATTCTATGCCTTATGCCATGATACGAAATGCCCGAACCTTCAGCGTCATTAAAGTAAGGACTTATTTTTATGATCTTTAAATGTCAGTTTGCCATCACAATATATTTATATTTGACATCTTAACACTCCTGCGGATGGCTGTCGGCTGATATTCGTTGACAGCCCCTGATATCCTCCCCTATTTCTTTACTATTGCATTTCAAACCCTGGATTGCTGCGACGCTGCAGAGAACAGAATTCTCCAACAGCTTAATTCTTAGACTTTACCGAACGGGTGATTACATGCAATGCTATTTGATAATTGCTTGGTACTGACTGAGCCTGGTATATCCTGTGACAAACATTGTCCAGTGTTTACAATCAGTGTCCATTTCTGTAAATGCTGTAAAACATGATACCGATAGGGTTATTGGTCTGTAGACGTTATTATGAGCTATTTGAAAAGCAATTCCAAATTTTATTTACTGCACTATTGCAGAAGGTATTTCAAGAGGATCTTTTGTCATTTACTATAGTTCTTTCCTTCCCTTTTGAATGTAATGCATTATTTTACTCGTTCTTCTGGATCGTGACACGATTGAAAACGTTTATAAAGTGCTTGTATTTTTTTGTTTCGATTGTCTGCTGGTGAGATATTTCACTAGTTGCTACGAGGATTGATTTTAACTCCTCTAAATTCGTGTACTCGTTTACAACCGTCCTTTATGGTATCTATTAATTTATCAGTAGCGTTATCCAGATCCTCCAGGCGTATGATGGAGTTAATATCATCTTGGATATTTATGAATTTATTGAAGAGGTATTTATGGGGTGTGGAGTGACCGCCATACTTTGTTTTGAATGTGATTTAAAAATAAATTTCATATATCTGTTGTATTGAATAAGTGATTTAATTATGATTATTCATAGTAGATTCTTTTACCACTTTCACTCCTACATGTACTGGCTAAGTCGTGCCCTAACTGTTGTAAAATGTGAAAGGAGAGGAGTGTTTAAAATAATAAGGTCTGTTTAGCTTGCAAATTATATGTATTCTGAGCCTCTATATTGCTGGTTTTTCGTATTTCCATCCCACCCAAGATTATTCTGTGTCTTAGAGAAGATTTTTATATAGTGAGTTCTACGAGTGCTTCCATACAGTCATCAGTAGTGTAGATGTAAAAAGAAGTGACTCTGAGCGTTTCCTTTTTTTTTTCTTCTAATTTGATTGTAACTTCGCGGGTATGTACACTTGAGTTAGAGAGAATTATAATGGCCAATACAAGCTGTTACTGCTTTGGTATTTGTAGATTGGTATGAATGGAAGGAATTTGGTCGATCAAGGAAACGTCCAAGCTGACACTTTTACTTACCGTATTGCTTGCCACTCGGAAACACTGGAGAAACTATATTTTGTGCTGTCTTATATTTTGTTCTTGTCTATGGATACCATAATATTAAAATGGTATATATGTTAGACATTTACCCTAGTATGCACAGTTTTCGGCGCCTTCTCCTTTGTTCGGCGTTGTTCCATCAGTTTTACCTATCAGCTTTAGAGTCGCTTTAGAGTTTTTTTTAGGTGTTAGACAGGCCATGGCATTAATAAGTTTTGTGCATTATGTTTCCTAGCTGTCTCTTTGGCTAGGATGTCAGCCTCTTCATTGCCTTTTTTCCTGCATATGCTTTCAGCCAAGCGACAAAAAAATTCTGATTTTGTGATGCTGAAGTTGTTTCTGTAATCTCTTGGATTAATATTGAGCTGTAGTACAGGTTCATTGTGGCGTCCTTTGCTGAAAGACTGTATGTGAAGCTATATGATGTTTTTAGGAAATTTGCGATGCTGTATTTTATTGCTTTCAAGAGCGCTACTGATTCCGTTTGGAATACACTGTTTGGCATTCTTGTAGGAAAAACGCAAGTTGAATTTCGTCAATCGGCCCAGTAGAACGTGAGATATAGAACTGTCCCTTTTTTCCCACAGCATTTAAAATTATAAAATTATAATGTAGATGTTGAATAGCTAATCAGTTCTTTAGAAAATCAACGAAATTGTTATTAGTGCTAGCATGGATTAGTTTCATTTTTATTTGCATAAAAAAGGTTACTTTTATTAAGATTACATTAAAAATAATTAAAAACTCTCTCATTGAACTGAATCTATAATTTTCTAATGTTTTTGTATATTCTACGGAAGGAATATTTCAGTATAGACTGCTGTTTCTTCAAGCATTTTATGACGCATGATAGTGAAATTTCTACCAACAACTTAAAGAAACTTCATGACATTGCTTTCGTAAAAGGAATGGTGAAATATGTAATAAAAGTTCCGAAAATATTTATGTTTTTCAGTAATTTTATTTTAGATTAAATGTACAGCTGCTGTGAGTTGACCCACCTTTAGTGAAATTTATGGCTTTTTGGTAAGTGTTTCTGAACTATTAATGGTGAAGTATGTAACAAAAATAATGTTAATTGAAATAGATTTTGTAAAACAATTTTAATTGATGTAGATTTTATTTTAGCAGAAGCGCTTTTAGAAGTGGAACAATATCCCCTTCTACAGCTGGATTTGAGTGAAAGACAATCATTGATAACATTTCTGTTAAAATAAATTCTACGTCAATTAACACAGTTTGTCTCACATTATATCGAGTATTTAACCCTTTTTTTATTGCAAAGATTAAAATTTTCTGTTTAAGTTTCAGTAGCATGTGATCAGCTATTATGATTAATTTTCTGAGACCACTGTATTTCCTATATAAATTTAATTAGCATTTTAATGAATAACATATAAAAACAGGCCACAATATATACATATACAAGAGCAATTCAACTAAACTGTGCAGATAAAGAGTCCCTTCGCTGATAAATCACCCTTCAGAATAAAACAAATACTGAGTGACAAATAAATCACAATTGGAAGAGCAATCCTGTTCCTTTTCATCAAATTCTCTATTTATCGAATGCACTTCATTGTTGATGCAAGACTAGAAAAGCAGAAATAAAATTCGGAACAGTGAAATTTGTTCGTTTCATTAAACAAAATATATGACACAGTTCAGAGAGATATACCACATTAGTTCGAAACATACATGAAATTAATAAAAATATATTTATGAACTTTATAACTATAGCACTCAGAGAATGTCTCTGAAGTGAAAATAAATACTAACAGCAGATTTACAGTTACTCCCGATTCTAGCATACGCTTCTATGTACAAGTCTTTTAAAACGCCTGTCATATAGCGCATAGGAAATACTATGCTTTGGGCTTAATCATGACAGTAACTTCTGCATTTGTCACTTAACGAACAATATAACACAATAAAAAATTACATTCAACAATTTTATGTTGTTTTCATTTTCATTTGTTAAAGTGAAATTATGAATTCTTATTGAAAAAAATAAAGTTTTGCTTATGCTCTCACAGAAACAACTACCTGTTTACAATCACATAAACACAAAATTTTCAAAACAGTTAATATTAATTTTATGAGATTACTCATTTAAAATTAAATGTATATATGTATTTACTTTGTATAATTAAAATTTAAAATAAACTGATTACGAATCAGTACCTTTCACCTTTCCTGCTTTTAAAACAAAAAATTGCTCAATATTTGACATAAAATGCCCAGATGTTTTACATTTTAATAGATAAATGTACAAAAGTGGTGAATGGATTGTAAGAGCTAAATGTAATAATGTCAAACGTGGTAATTAAAAACTAAAACATTTTCGTGATAGTACAGACTATTGCTAAAATACGATTCCATTAGTTGTTTAGTGTATTAAAACACTACTAATGTATAACTGAATTATTTAAAAATATAGTTTGACAAATTCAATAATTTCTAATTCAATAGACACATTAAATGTGTTATGCTAAATATATTTAAACAATGTGCTAAATAATTCGGTATAAAATACTCCCGAATCAATATACCATAAAACGGAAGTTTGTATTAAAGTTTAATATATTAATCCATTCAAACCGGGCATTTATATGATTCGCATCTTATAAAGGAATGACAAATGGTAAGTTATTTACTCATACCATTTGTCATTCCTATTCCATTTACATTTAAATATATAACCAGCCAGCATAAATATACTGCATTCACCACACTATTTCTGTTTTGATTCATATTTGTCCTGCAATTATTAAGGTATTCTATAAAATTAAACCCATTTAGTTATCATTAACACATTGTCATTCTGTATATCTCTTCTCTGTTGAAAATTATCATTAATGATAGATGGTGAACCCTCTTAATCTTCAGGCGAAATTTTATATATTTCGATTTTCCCATGTTCTTAATTACTTCCTATTAAAATAAAAAAAGGTCTTCAAGTACCTGTATTTTTAATTCGAATCCTATTACCATTTTTTGTATTTTTACTTTCTCCTTTCTTGAATTTAGAAACAATGTAATAAAATACAATCTTTTTGCCGAACTCATTTCTTTTCCCCTTTATACAATTAATTAAAAAGGAAATTATACTCTAAATTCAGATTATTCACCATACCAAATTTTGTTCAACAGAAACACATTAAACATTCTGCGACACAATAAATAAAGATATTTTTTTTAAATGTGATTATGGTGAAATGTAAAACAATGAATGCTAAAAATCTAGAACATAAGCCATTATTCGTTATAAATAAGAATGAAATACATACCAAAAATTCTTGTATTCGATAAAATTCATCAAAAACCATTTTGCATTCTTTTATTGAGAAATATTTGTCAAATATATCAATGAAACTGACAAAACGCCGCACCCTAATTCACCCTACTTCATCTTGTCAGGCAAAATTAGCACACGGAGTGGCCATATATCTTCCTTAAAGAGAAGACACTTTTGTGAAGAACGTTCTGTAAAAGTATGGCTTGTGGAAGCTGTCCTTTTATTAGTCATTTATCAATAGTTGTTGTTTTTCCATTAACTGAAAATAATCAGCCTTAGACCTATTTTATATAATTTTGTTCATTGTACTTACCAAGAGATTATATATATATTATATATATATTTAATTTTAAAGCAAACTTTTGAAAATCATTGAACATACCTACATGAGAATGCAAGACAGAAAAAACATTTGTTAGTTAGGGCTAAATTTATGCCTACTAGGTCTAAATTTAAGGAAACAGACATTCGTCATTGGCGTAAAATGCAACATCCATTTAATAAGATTTGTGATATTAAATGGAAAACAAAATCAATTAAAGGCTTTGTCGTCAAAATCAGTTTATAACACATACAAGGCAGAATTGTCTCTAATAAATTTCCCACTGAAAAATGCTTAGTTTACATCATTTTACTTCAAAAATTGGAACCTGGCTCTAACATCAATTATGTGCGATAAATGTATAAAATATCGCGACATTTCCTGAAAGAGACAAGACAATGACTCGATGTGTTTTGTCCATATATGTATTAACTCATTGCTTTTATCCGTTTGATTAAAAACGCATAAATATGTGCAATGGTAATCGCAGAAGCAATACAAAACATGTTTCTCTTAAACATGTTCACGCATTCTGGTACTGTACCGACATATTTATAATTCACTGATTTGTTTCCGAAGAGGCTTATTTACCCATAGGTTAAGTATGCTACAAAGAAAGAATATGCTATACAGAAAGAAATCTACGTTTCTTACATGAATTTTAAAGAATGAATTTGTTCTAATGTTGCCAAAAATTAAACTTAATGGGCACTGCCTGTAATATGCGTTTAAAGTAACTTACGTTTAAAGTATTCTTTTCTATAATTAGTTTAAACTGTATCCCTTTCAGTCAGTTTAATATGCAAATTAACAATCATTTATAAATTAAATACTTCAATTATATTAATTTTATTGTAGTTTATTATATATGCAAACATCATTCTGATTTATGTAACAATTATTATATTTCCTCCTCTCCGATTCAAAATGATTTAGTGGTTTGTATTTGACTTTAATACACTAATAATATTTCATACTATATTAACACACTGCATAATTGTTAATCAACAGCTGCTGCCATTGATTTTTTTTTTCAATCTGTACTTTTATGTGCAGTTATTTAATGCACATTATAACACCGTCTCAGAAAGTGAGAGACATCATCATCATATTAATGCAGCTTTTATTTTGACTAGAAGAAATACCTAGAATAGAAAATTCTAATTTATCGAATCGAAAGTCTATTTATAGAACCGGGAGTAAACTGTTATTTCAATCTTCAAACAGAAAACGTTCAGTTATTTTGCATAGATTCCTTCAATAAGTTCCACTCACTGCAAGCTAAGTTGCTTACAAAAACCGGCAACGGAAAGTTCACATTGAGTTTAACACGGCAATATAATGTTCACATTTTGTTATGTAATCCTATACTGTCTGTTTCAAATAAATATCTCTCTTGGTGGATGTCACTGTTGCAGTTCATGATATGTGTTTAGTACACGCTGAAATTCGAATTATATTGGGCAGATCTTCCAGCTGCTTTAAATGACTGTAGTTCTTTGGGTTTTTTCAAGTCCAACAAGAAGTCATCTTATGGTCGTCTAGGTTCCAAGGTGTCAGACAATTGTGTTAATCGCTTCTGATTGTCGATTATCCTCAGATTTCTAAAATAGAAAATATGCATATATTTAATATAATATTTATTATTATAAATTATATAATTATTAATATTATTATAAATTTTTCAAATACCAGAAGCATTTTGAAAGGAAAAGGAGTTTTTTTTAACTACACAATAATAAGGTAATAATATAGCTCACAAAAATTCCCACAGAGAATTTGTTTAGCAACCGTTTCGTTGGAAATACAAACTTTCAATCACAAAAATGTTTAACACAACCCAAATATTCACATCTAGTCATTTTTAAATATAAAGAAATCAATTTTCTAAAAATTACAAAATCTAAACATTTTATACCTTCCTCCGGATCCTATACTTATGTTTAGGAAAATTCTGTATTAGTTACAAAAACTACAACATGAACTAAACATGAACTTTCTCCGTGTAATTCTGTCCGTTTCTTTTTTAATATTATTTTTGTGTATCTTTTGGTACAAAGATCAAACTTCTTTGATAAATAAAGCAAAAATATGAGGGAAAATATCAACACTAAATAATACAAAGTCTGCTTCAAATTTTGAATGTCTTAGGAATAGTACACTGTGACAGCAGGACGTGAAAAATTTCAAGTCCTGTTGGTAGAAGAACCAAACATTGGTTTCAAGATTTGATCCAAACAAACTGAGAAACCAAGTAAAGTATAACTTTGCAATAATAATAATAAAAATAATAATAAAACTGAAATTTAACTATTTGAAATCATTTGTTAACTATTTGCATGGCGTTTTCTCCCATCTGGAGCTAGTCTTTAATTTTTTTATATGTTTGGATACCCAAGTGACCGAATAAATAACACAAAATTTTAGGTGATTTGTCCTTTTAGGAGCCCCGAAGTAAGCGTGATTGTACGGTTTTCTCCGTGTATAACATAAATAGGACCTAGCTATAGCAAGACATCCAGGAAACATCACTTCCCAGAGGCAAATAACCTTATTGTGCCTTACTGTCATCAAATAAATATAATATCTAGTCCCTTGTATGCTTCGTTACATTCTTTTATCTGAATGATCTTTTTTTTCCAAGAACCTCTCTACCAAGTAAAATTTTAATTTGGTGTGCTTAAATTTTTATTTACAGAATTTCAATATTTTGCAGCGATCAGAATTCAGATCTATATTTATGTTTCTATAGCAGTTAATCAGCAACTAAAGCCAGATGGAAGATCGGGTTCACGTAATAATATGGCTAATAATAATAGCAGATGTAACAACTTTGATACATCAGTTCTTTTACGTAAGAATACTAATTGTTGATCCGATTCTGCCCTTACTTTCTCCTTATGAAAAATTACTTTTTCATAAGAATAAAGTAAGGGCAAATTCGGATCAACAATTATGAAAAATTACTTTTGCATAGTCTATTAATTTCTACTTCTCTTTTCCAATTAATATAACTTCATCTAAAATAGAAAAGTCATTTTTTGTTTAATCCTGATTCGTTTTGATACTTACTGCTGTTTAATACTAAGTCGTTTTTTAACTCCACAGCGAAGTTGCCCAAAGCAGCCGGGCATTCAGACATCGGTCGTCTGTGTCCATTATCTAACTGGTGCTTTCTCCAATCACGTCAAGCTCATTGTTTTCAGGAGTTGTTAAATGGCATGCCAATCATTGTTTTGCCACGGCAAATGTCGACGGCAAAATGTCGAACATTTGTTGTTCTATTGTTCAAAGCTCAAGGAAGGACGAAAGGAACTCATTTCTAAGTTAAACTCTGTGAATATTTCATTTCCTCCCCCTCTTCATGTTTTTGTTCAACATAAAATGGCTTTCTCTTTTTTCTGTAAATTTATCTCTTACGTATCATCTGTGAATTTGTAAGTTTATTTTATTTTGTGTTGTGTTGTTGTATTTGTTTGTTCTTTTTTTACTTACCTCTGTAAGCCTTGTGTAATACTATGTGGTGCACAAGGATTTAAAATTTTCAATAAAAAAAAAAATCATTGTTTTGAAGCGACTAAAACTAGCTCTCTTGTTTGAATGCTTCTTCCTTCTCCTTTTGTTTACCTTCAACGCTTAGCTACTGGTGCTTGCAGTTACAAGTCTGTCCTAAGGGGAAACTGCACACAATGGGTGAAACCTAACAAAGGTCCCCAAGACAGAAGTAATCGCTTCACTTAAGTAGGTTATTGTTAACACTGTAGTAGCATTCCACTTGGCATGCAAAAAAATCGAATATATGGGCATTTCAGATGTCTGAGAGAAAGAGATTTTCACCTCTTCCGGTACGAAAGAGTTGCACATTCTGCTGATTCTTCTACTACCAAGAAATGTGAATATGCTGCTATGTATGGATTACATTAACAGATTCTTAACGCTCGCGAAATAACATCGTTAAGCAACTGATGTTTTATGTCAGGAAATTCTGTCGTCCGCCATCTCAAAACACTGCTGTTGAATTACAAATACCGAGGATTGTAAGAGCAACAATATTTTTCAAATTCCTCCAAAATTTAAAATTAAGAAAAGTTTATCATCATTTTTGCTGTTATCTATGATCTATGATAAAGATGCCAGACAAGATATTTAGAGAAAATGTGCAGTGCTTTGGGATTTTATGCTTTGGAAAATTTTGGGAATGAGACAGAATGTAATTAACATACTTTTTGGATGTAATAAATAAAGACTGAAAACCTAATAGAGCAAGACTTCGATAAAAGAATCGACAATGATTTAGTCTGAACTGTGTACCACGGGTATTAAAGTGCCTTAAACAGAATAGCAATTTCGTTGCGCCCAACAGAGACGATGATCGTTTGGGTACTTTGCATATAAAATCTTACTGTACTGTTTACTAGACCCCTCTGAAGGTCCACTCGGCGCGGTGAGGGGAAGCGACAAACGGGGCCATCTCAATGCGGGGAACAAAGAAGATCTTGGTGGTAGATGTCCCTGAGGTACGCCCGCGTACATTATATCTGCATTTAATTGCTTTATTTTGCTACTGCTGGAGCATTTCTTTGAAGGTTAAATTACACTACATAGATCTTGACTTCTAGCAGCCAAAAAGTCAATAACCTTCGTAATTTTATTCCTCAAGTGCTTGTTCTTAACTGCATATCTTAGAAATGGGAATAAATCCTCTTCTGAATTTGGCTTCCTTAGATGAAGGGAATCTGTAAACGAGTAGGAAAATAGATAATGTTCGGTGACCCTTTTCACCACATGCACAAGAGTCTGATGAAGAGAGATTTCTTGCATAGAGGTACGTGGGAAAGGGACCGTGCCCCGTGATAAACCACGTGGTATGTCTGGAGAGAGGGATTGGAGGAGAGTCAATTTTGGGCAAGAGGTTGTAAACTCTTCTGCCTGTATTTGCAGCGTCCCACCATTGTTGCCACAAGGCTTTAGTTCTGACCTGTAGTTTTAGTTTGAGGTGAGAAGCAAGCCAGAGGATGCTTATTTTCTTGGCATTGATTCCCTATGCTGCCTCCTTGGCTAATACGTCAGGCTCTTCGTTTCCTTTATGACCAACATGGGAATTGATCCAGATTATAAAGAGGTGTTGGCCTTGGGCATTGGAGGACTTTTTAAGAATTTCCTGAGCTAATGCTGATCTATTCTTTGTGTTCGCCAGTGCATGCATTGCCCAGAGACAATCTGCATAGACTCCTTGGAAAATGATGATGTGTGCTTACGTTGATTGCCTGCAAAATCGCGAACATTTCCGACTGAAAAACGCTATTTTCTTTGTCAAGTTGGAACTTGAAGTCTTTTGTGTCATGGTCACTGAGATATATTTTTAAAGCACATCCTTTTCCGTTGTTTATGCCAGAACCACCAGTGTAGATCTTCGGAAATAATGTTTGGTATTTATTCTGCCTTATGCATAGTGTGATATTATTTCGGCTAGCTGGGTGTCTTTCATATGGATGGATCGGTGAGGTGTAGGAGCTGGCAGCTACTATCATTACCCTTCTGTAGAGAAATAAAGAATTACATCGTCTTAAATTTATCCTAATAAAGATAATTGCAAGCTTAAAATTTTTAAGTGAGCGCCTGCTCTGCGCTTTAACTAATGCTGTGGGTTTCGCGGTCCTCTTTGTCATGTAACTTAACATTTTTCCAATTATCTGGATGGAAGAGAAATTAAAAACAGAAATAACTGAACATCAGAGTTAATTTCAAATGGCTTCGAAAGAAAATAGAATCTGGATAACAGGAATTCTAGATACCTGGAGTCCAAATATTTAGAGTTCTACTTCTATAGTCCATTGAAAAATTTGATTTGTATTTATATATACACCGAAGGGCCATTACATTATGACAACCTGTTAATAATATGTAGGACTACCTTTAGCCCTCAAACCTGCAAGGACTCGGCGTGGCATTAACCCCACAAGGTGCTGATACGTAGTCTGAGGTATCTGCTACCAACCGCGAACCAACTGGTCCCGCTATTCCTTCACATTGGAAAGGGGTAGCGCGGCAGAAACTTGGTTTTCAAGGTAAGATTACAAATGCTCTATTACATTAATGTCAGGTGAATTTGGAGGCCAAGACATGACTTGAAAAGTCACTGCAATGTTCCTCGAACCATTTCCTGATGATATGACCTTCATGACATGATGTATTACCCTGTTGGTAAACACCATTCCCCACCGGAAATACGGTCGCCATGAATGGGTGAACCTTGTCTACAACGATGTCCACATAGCACATAGAAGTCAGAAGTTGTTCTATGGGGATTGTGGGTCCTAATGTGCTCCGTAAAAACATTGGCCACACCATAGTATCCCCAGCCACCGGTTTGTCTCCCTTCAACTGTGCATCCGGGAGCCAGGGTTTCGTTTGAAAATGGGCATATTAGCACACACCCGTCGATGACAAGGACGAGGGAATGTGATTCGCCGGACCATGCAACTTTCTTACGTCCTTCTAATGTCCAATTTCGATGTTTCTTGGTCCATTACAGACGTAGCTGGCGGATGACGTGCCGTCGGTGTAGGGGCATGCTTGGGCCTCCGGCGGCGTAGGCAATGTA